TTGTGTAAGTAGATAAAGCATTCATGGTCTTTTTCTGTCTTCTCTCTGTGAGTCAAAATACATTTAGTGCGCACTAAGGGAGTTTATTCCTGTTTGTGATGCAACTAGAAGTAATGCTACTTCCCCTCTATGGGATGCTAGTCTGTTGCAGTTATTTATTACACGACTTACATGTAAATTCCCTGCAAAAGAACAGGTCATACCATTGACAAAGAAGAAATGTTGCCACGAGCATGGGACAAAAAAAAAAGAAGAAAAATTGAGTCCCTGACAGGATTCAAATCCATGAGCTGCCAGATACCCATATGGCACTTTAACCACTGGAGAAGCACGATGGCCTCATGGTTAGTGCTCTCATCTTCGGATTGAGTGGTCAAGGTTTGAGCCCTGGCAAGGAACATTGTGTTGTGTTCTTGGGCAAGACACTTTACACTCACAGTGCCTATCTCCACTGATACCCTCTCTCCATGGGTACCGACAAATGTAATGCTGAGGGGTAACCCTGCGGTGGAGTAGCATCCAATCCATGGGGGGAGTAGTAATACTCCTAGATGCTTCATGCTATAGAAACCAGACTAAGCTCTGGCCTGATGGGCCACTTGGCTCATATGCAGACTTTACCTTACTCTAACCACTGAACTACAGAGAGACTCTTCGTTCGCTAGGTCATTGTAGGTCATTGTACTAACATCCTGCTAAGTGCTAGTATCAGCAATGTAGAGAGCGTCATATGTGTGATAAATGAAAGACGGTAAATTTGCAGCTCAGTGAATAAATGGTAAAGAAGAAATGTTGCCATGAGTGTGGGATGAAGAAAAAAAATCTGAGTCCCCATAAGGATGTCATACCATTATTAATCTGATGATTATTTCTTAAATGTGCACCACCTGGAGTCCATCATTTTAATTCCTGTGTTAGGAAGCTATTGTGGCAAAATTGTTTTGAATCTTTCTTTGCTACAGCTTGTTTCATTTGCTCTCCACTCCATGCCAGAACATTGGTCAAATGCAGTAAGTGACATCATAAACA